ACGTGGTTCATCTGGTATGCCCCCAAAGTGATGACTTCGGGGAGCATTTCCAGATGCTGCAGGGTGTCCCGGAAGTCCTCGACTCGGTATGGGCGGCCACGAACGTCAGCATGCAAAAATACGGTGTTTAACACCGCAGAACCAGTCGGCAGGGGTGGCAGAACAGACTTGTACCCGTTACTGAAAAATTGTAATGAATTACATTTACAATTACTCAAGGCTAAATTTTAATTTATTACAATTACAATTATCCTCCCATAAAAGTAACTCACCGTTACCCCAAAAAGTAATCCGTTACTTCCGTGGCGTTACTTTCAACATTATTGTCCTCATGTAAGAAACAAAAAGGAGAGGGTTGTTCAAGCTTTTATTACTGCAACCTGTTTCATTTAATGACCTTGGATATTTTGAGCAACAGCCGGCTCTTGAAAGTCTCGTCGGACATTTTGCGTTTATGTCGACTGCTATGCTGAACACCCTCTGAACTAAGGCACTGAATGGGAGTGCCATATTTTTCCGCACGAATGCTTCATGCTCTGCTTTGAACTTCTTCAGCGAAGCAATGGAAGTACTATTTACCTTGAAGATACAGTAAAGCTTCGCCGTTGCAGCCGTTGCCTGATATTCGAGCGTTTTAGTAAATCGTTCTGATACCTTTGGTGCCCCCAGAACGACATGATGCATCCGCAAAGGCGGCGGCAGATTATCGGGTATCCTTCTCAGAGTCATCGGACCGATCTACTAAAATTCTCCATTGTCTAAATCGTGAAGCTGTGGAAGTCAACATACATCTAGACAAAGTTAGAATAAGAATTGATTTATGTCCATCTTACTATACCGACATATATTGCCAGACAATAGCAAAACATAGTTGTGGCTGTAAGGTGATAATTAAATAATAAATAAGATTTGACTCGATATTCCTCTTCCTTTGGTTCTGAACAGGTCGAGCCTCGGTTGAGACGTTGGTGAATAAAAAAAAAGTTTCCAGTATATAAATATAAGTAATAAAAAAAGGACGCTCATAACAACAATGAAGCTCTTGGCGAATATGTGCTGCCACCTAGACACGCGACTGGGTTCTAGGCTAAGTGGCGAGAAAACAACGCGCGCGCAAAGCCTCTCCCACCCGTTACACACCTAAAACGTCAGCTACATCCTGTTTACCCATTGAGGCGCTGTGACCTCGATACGGCTCCCCCAGACTTGTACCGTACGCATTACAAGTAATCAAATTACTTGTAATCGATTACTTTTTGGAGTAATTTTGTAATCAGTTGATTACTTTTATTAGGCAGTAATCACAAGAGTAATCTTATTACTTTTTGAAGTAATAAAATTACTTGTAACCGTTACAATTCGTCCACGGGACAACCCCCCCCCCCCCCCGGCACACGCCTTTTTTTTATGAAATGACAAAAATAATATTTGCTTTTTTTTCGAACGGAAAAAAGAAAGATTTTTGCGGAGCTGTAGGAAACGGGGTCAATCTCTTTCTATGTACAGTTTCTGTGGAATATCTGTTTTTTTTTTGTTTTTTTTTCGAGCTGGGAAGCCGCAGGAGAGGCACAGTGCGTGACAAAGGCCATTCAGGGCGAAGTTTGAGGAAGCAGAATGTAGCTTTGTGAGTCCTTTGTTCAAACTAGCGTTCAAACACACACACACACACAGAAAGAAAAAAAATAAAAAAATCCTGCCTAGGGTACCTACTCGCAGCCCGTAGGAGAACCAGAACCGAAGAATGCCTAAAGCGGATGCAAAATATAACAAAGGCAGTTGAAATATTTCCCCATTTCCCCTAGGTGGTCTTTGTGACAAGCAATGTTTCGAGTTGAGAAGTGGTTGGGGCGATCTCTTCCGCTAATGGATACTACACATGATCCGTTTCAAATCCTGCAGCTGCTGCTCTTTTGTATAACATGCGAGCTCATCCACATGTGAATAATAAAATGAGCGACGCAAACTTTGAGCGACAACCCTTGCTCAAGCTTAACAAGATCTAGAACCCCCTCCGCTCCCCCCCTCCCCCCCCCGCACACACACACACTGGCGGAACGCCCAAATCAATAAACGTCTTCAAACGAATTCTATGCTTGTGTCCGTATTGTGAAGGGGGGGCCAGTTTTTCTTCTTCAATACTTGTGCAAATGTGAAACATAGGTTGGAAGTAGTTCATTGTTATTAGCGCTGAAGATGTGTCTTCACACAATAAAGTAATCGGAAAAGTAATGATTACTTCTTGAAGTAATGTCCAATTACATTTGCCGTCGAGTAATCAAGTAATCTAATCGAATACTTTTTAGCCAAGAGTAATAGTAATTGTAATCGATTACTTTTTTTGAGTAACGTGTACAAGACTGGGCTCCCCCAAACTCGCCTTTGTCCCCATCGTGCGTAATCTTCCACCCCGAAGTCGACAGAACGAAACCATCTTCCCTCTCTGCTCGACCAAAAGGAAGAGAGAGAGGGTACTGGAATCATTTACTCTCAAACCGATGTTTCTACTAAAGGTAGGGTACTGGAATCATTTACCCTCGAACCGATGTTTCTACAAAAGGTCAATGGTGAATCAAATCACCAACAACACGTTGTTGGTGATTTTAATTTTTGCACTTCAGAATGTCGTGCACAGTTTTTAAAAATGTTTTGGAGGATTCGATTGCGCTGGCATGTCCGTTTCGTAAATAGAAACTTGGATAAAGTTCGCTTTCATTCCTGCGTCTCCGATGTACAGTTTGAAAGGTTCAGTGGGTAGAACTTCACTCTGGTGATGTGTTTCAGCCTTTATGTTGGATTTCATAAGATATTTTTAAGGTAAAATTAATGTTATTGGGCCGGGCAGACTGCATTCTAGCCATTTGTTGGGATTATTTGCAGCAAGTGGATTGCACTCTACTCCTCTACTGGTCTATTGTAGTGAATGCTTTCTTGGATGGTCATGTCTGTTTCTTCCTATTATGATCTTGTGGAATGTGTAAGTTCCCATTTTGTTCTCGTTAATACTCTCTTTGAATGCAACTTCCTTTTCTTTTGGACATTGTTTCTGCTTTACACATATGTGAAGCGTGAAGAAGATTGAGATCAGGGCTTCTACCAACCTGGCAAGCCTGAAATTTTCAGGTAATTTTGGATCACCTGGAAAGGTCAAGGAATCATCAGGGAAACTGTCAAAAGCTCGTCTAAATCAGGGAAAGTGACCAGTAAAAGTGGCACGGTTGTGGGGAACGAAGCCCGGCGATCAGGTGTCGCCACGGCTCTGCTGAATAGCATTGCCCAAAATGTCATCCTTCGAAAAAAGGAACAGCCAGGGAATTTTATCGAAATAGTCAAGGAAAACCTGGAAAAATCATGAGAAGTCATTTGGTAGACACCCTGTAAGATGTACTTAATTAGGCAGTGCATATTGCATGCCAAGCCTTGGTCGAATCATTTGTGATGAGTGGGTCGCAGGTACACCCGGCACCAGTCTGCTTTTAGCAGTCCTTTGTCAGCCATTTCATATGTGCTTTTTATGGTAGTGGTCATGTTAAAACTTACATGTTAAATGTGACATGTTAAGCGTGACATGAACGTAAAACCTGTATTAGTCCGTCAGTTGCCTTTTAGTTCTTATTATTTTGGTCATTATTGTTACTTACATCAGCAGGGGCAAGGTATGTTTAATTCTGCAGTGCAGGCTGTGTTAGGGTTGTATAATGACTATGTCGCAAACTAAGTAGGTCTATATTAGTGGCAATCTGGTTTAGGCATTCACTCGTCTGTTTTTTCTAATTGTGGTCATCGTGCATCTCAGAATTGTTCTGCTGAACTTTTTATTTGCATACAAATTGCAATGAATCAAGGAGCTTTGATACTGCATGGCCAGTTTTTTTTTCTACTTGTTGCTGATGCTGCATATGTTATATGTGTGTGTGCGCCTTGCATAGAACTTGCTTGAAAATACAGAATAGGCTTTCAATCCAATTGCAGTTGTAATTCCAGTGGTTTGATAAGATTTTCATGCATGGCATAATATGCTTGTCATATTTTTGTAGGATGTACTCTTTGTGAATCCCTTGTACACGGTGCTTGTATTTTGAAGTTTTTGTAATTATATACGAGGCACAAACTGCCCATCATATTTTTTTGTGTCAAAAATAAACTTTGTTGATTACTTCCTGGTGGTGTTCTTCTGGGCAGCTAATGGACAATACTGTATATAGTATTGTCCATTAGTTGTCCGCATTAGAATTCACACATACGTGTGAAGTAATTATAGCCGAAATTTGGCATACGGGAATAGTAGGAAAATCATAACTCGCGGCGAACCAGATGGCGCAGGCTTCCGCCCAACACGCTATGCCAAACTAGATGTCTATCCATCCGCTATTTTTTTATTGTGACTCCATTCATTTAGTTGGCGACTACGACGGCCGCTGCGTGCGCTCCCTGCCAGCTAAATAAGCCGCTGGGGCCTATGGAAGTGTCCGCTCTTTACCTTGTGTAGATTACTCTATGGGCAAACCGAGACGGAAATGCTCGCTTTGCGACATGTGACGACAGAGTTTCAGTGTTGCCAGAGAAGGCACCCTTTACGCTAGAGTACGATTGGAGCAGCTCAAAATTCACCTACTCGTGCCGAGGGGCATATAAAATTCATATATTGCACAGACGATGTAATATAGAACAGAAAATTTTACAGGACAATGCCTTGATTGTAAAACGAAGCATACTACTTATATCTGGAACTTCAGCGATAAAGTTTAGGCAAAAGTGTTTCTAATCGTAATTCACACTCTCTGCCATTGTGAACTATTGCGGAATCGGGTGTTTCGCTCGCGGCTCTATCTACGGAACTCCTTTGTTCAGCCGTATCTAATATCGCGTTCCTTCAGACATCGGCCGCCCGCACCTAATCCGGCGTTGCTTGATAAGAGGGAGAGAGGAATGTAGAAGTAGTGCAGAGCAAATATTTCACTATCGCTTCGCTTATCGCTCGTTATGCGGACGCTTCGCAGTAAGCTCCTGTGTCCTCGCGCGAACGTGTCGCGGCAGCTGCAAAGTTTCGGATTCGACGGAACTTCAAACTTGGTCTCAACTGACTTCTAGCTTACTTAGACCATCGAGTACACATTTTGGGTAAGCTCACTGCGTAAGCTCACTGCGATATTAATGTTTACACGTGACAGGTGATTCAATATTAATTTAGAGAATTCCAACACACTGAACTACGTTCCGGTGATTCGCAGTCGTTTCATCCAGCGGACGTTTCATATTATAGAGTTTCCACGACGCCGTTTTTACGCATAGTCCTGTTTCTGCTCTCACCTTGAGAGAATGTGCTCAGGAGTGTAAGGCTGATGCGGCTGGCAGGAATAAGCGAGAGGATGGGGGCCAGGGCATGTATGTTAGTCGATCTTAGTGTTTTAGCGCTCGCTCAACAAGCAGCGTTTACGCTACTTTAGGAACCGGTAGAACGGTGCCTCTACCACGTTTCCGACCGGTGTGTTTACCGCGTCTAGGAAACTTTGTCCTTCAATCTCCGTCTGATGAGGCCATAAAAGTGCCAGGCCTGCCGCAATCCTGGGGGTGTCGAATCAGCGGTGGTGGTTGTGGCTAGAACACTATATAGCTCCTACGGAGCAGAGTAGCGCAATCCTTTGATACGCGTATTTCGCCGACAATATGGCCGACAGAGCAGCTCGGCGCGAGTCACGTGGTACTCAGGGTTCCAAGAGGCGGCCCGCCCTATGGGAGAATACATGGAGATCGACTCAACACGGCTGATTAAAAAATAAACGGCAAGTTCACACTTTTTGAGACTAGTCTGTCGTGAAGTTGGTAAAGCACTAAACACTTTATCAAAGTTTTAATAATATCGGATGCATGCGAAAATTTTGAGAAGGCAATTTCCAAGGCAATGGCGTTTGAAGCAGACGATTTTTGTACGCAGCGGAGATGGACTTCCTGGGTTGGCCGGAGCGGGTCACGTGGACGGTGTGACGTCTCCGTGACGTCGCCGCGTTGTCTGCTGCGTAATGCCAATCAGGCAATTCAAAAAAAAATTACGCCGTTACATGGCACGCAACTTAGCGCAAATTATTCTAAAATGTTCCTTTATTATGTCAAAAACGTTTGACGTTCCGCACATCCTCACAATATTGAAGAAACGGCGATTTTCTCACGTTCCCCGTGCATTCCTGATCGGAGTTGAAACCCCCGGGCGTTCGCCGCTAGTCGCCGAAAGACGGCGTTCTAGGTTGCGCTACTCGGCTCCGAAGGAGCTATATAGTGCTCTAGTTGTGGCCATTTCTGCAGCAGGTCGCCCACCAACTTCACAGTCCCAGGGAGCGTCAGCAGTCGGGATTGAGACTGGGGGATGAGAGAGACACTCCCGTTCAGTCGTACTTTTTGCCGAGTTTGTTAGCGCCAACCGGCAGGATTGCAACATCTGACAGCCTGAAACAACGTCTTTTGTGACGTCATTTGTTGGCACACCAAGACCTCCTTTGATGTATTGGCGGTATAGGACGCTAAACACACCGGTCCAATATGTGTTCCAGGAACTGCCCCGGTATTAACGGAACGAAATGGACCAGCGGAGCGCGTGGCCTCTCGTGCTTGTGGCGCCATCTGGCAGACGCCGTGCTATCCGGTGTCGCGAGTCGCAGATGCGCACAACTGAGCCAAAAACTCGGAGGCTGTTCGTGCTCGGCGCCCTACCACTGAGAGCTGACCAACGCTGGCCATAAGCTTGCAACTTGTGACCGCATAATTTTTTTTTTTGCACACTGTAGCGTGCACAGATGCTTTTATTCGAATATGAACGGTGTTCAAAATTTAAATTATTACTCGCAGTGAGCTCACAGTTTATTCCAAATAAATGTGTTGTGTCGTAGCAGGTGTGCTCCATTTTCATACCGACAAATATAAAATTTCTTTCTTGTTCGCCGTTTTCTTTTTTATATTGTTGGTACAATATAACCTTGCATATTCAAGAACAGATAAATAATTAAATATGAAGTGTCACTCGAGGGTGGAGGAAATGCTCAAGAATGTGATTCAATTTCGGTAGTAACACCCTATTGGGAGTTTCGCTCCGAGTTCGAACACCTGTTGACTCCTTGGCCCAGCTACGTGTTGCGACTCACGACACGAAGTATGGTTGTAAAAAGGTTTCCATAAAGGCTTCAACGTTCCGATTCGCAAGAGCTATTCTGCTAGCAGGAAGAAAATAGGCTTGAGATGGGAGTGGATGAAAACACGCCATTAAATTATACACAGAGTGTTTCAGCTAACCTCTGCCAAGGCGTATAGAAAACTGTTTCGCACTGGGCGTTGTACCAAGGCAGTATTTACACAGTCCTATTAAGTGAGTCAAGATATATTTGTAGGGGTTCGCACATATTCGTGCTTCGAATGTAACAAGAATAATTATTGCCCAAATATTTTGATTTGTATTTGTAGCATTCGAAGTTTCGAATATTTCGATACGTCGAATATTCGAACCAGAACTACTGACAGAAACTCTGGTACATCCAGGACCGCTGTTCATGGGATGAAATAGTTTACACAGACCCGTGTTAGGTCTAACTCAAGACTCCATTAACATTCCTTTGATAAACAAACCAGTTTTTGTAGAAAGTGGTTTGTTTCCGCTGTTCCACGAACGAAGTAATCGTGTCTCCACCCCCTTGGATGCGTTCGACAGAACCTTTCAACCCCGCACGTCGCCTTTTCAAATGTAAGTATCGTACGTCCTGTAGCCAGTTCTGTATGATATAAACCTGGTCAGCGATAACAGACCCGATGTCTTTCACAAAGCCGTCGCACTCCACTGCGTCGAGAGAGGTGCCAGAGCTAGGTAATGCTAGACGCCACCCGGTTCAGCCGGTTCAGTCATAATCGTAGAGTCCTCCAGCGCGCTGCTTATACACACGTGGACTCAGCCATCAGCTGTGTCTCGTGCTTGTTGTTTATATGTGGTTATTAATACTGTTCTTTCCCCGGCTGAAGTGCCTGTTATGTGAGGGAGGTATATTGCGGAGAAGACGCCATGTAACCGAAATTTCAGTTCCACGTAAAACAAAATCCCCCGATGGTGGAAATTAATCTCCAGACCTTCACTCGCACGGTCCAAATATCCTTCGTTGGTTTGGGACGTAAAATCCCCAAATTTGCCTTTTAACAGTCTTTCTATTTGTGCTAGCCTCTCTTCCTTCCCTGTGCATTCGGGAGAATAAAGGCGTATAACAGTGTTTCCCAAGCTCCACCAAACGTAATATACTGGCCATGAGGTTCCGTGCTTTTGTTTTGGTGTCGGTTTGGAGAAGTTAATTTTTTTGCTTTATTAAACATATACGTGACTCTGTAGCAAAAAAAAAAAATAATAATCTCCTAATACAAATGAACGAACAACAACATTTCCTGGGGGCAGAGGGTGTAACTGTTTTTTTAAGTTTTGACAAAAACTAAATACAAAAGCTAACTTGACGGAAACGACACGATATACGGTGTTTCTCAGCCCACACTACAACTTTTGCATTCAAAAGTTGGCGGACAAATTATTATTTAAAATGCTAGTTAATTAATACTCAAATTGTCAGATTGGCGCATTACAAAACATCTTTACTCGCTCCACAGGACCCTGAATAATACCGAGTTTGTCCGACACGCGAAGCGTGAAGCAGCAGTTTCCAGTCTTGGCACATGTTAGCTGCAACTATATCAGTCGGTGTCCTAGTTGGTTGAACAGCTCAAAAACAGTTAGCGCAGAAGACAAGGACAAGTAGAAACGCGTGTCCTGTCTTTTACTTGTTTTTCGGGCTAAATATATTTGAGATTAGCTTCACCAAACTGTATAAGGGGTGTGCATTTACAGTAAAATACAAAACAAGCGTGAATGGGGGAGTGACCACCTCTCCCAATCATCTTGCCACTCAACCAGCAACTGCTGTATAACGAGGCCGTGGTGCTGGGCCGGAGTGCGGCACATTTTTTACACGAGCGCTCCATCAGCGATCGTCTGGAACTCATGTTCAGTCGGTGGCAGGACGGTTCCCAGCCGAACGGCGACGGAGCACTCCTGTGCACTCCGTGTCTCAAACTGGTCTCGGGTTTGTGATCCAGAAACTCAAGCACAATTCAGCCTTTTTATCTAGCCGGTGCTGATTTACGAGCTAAAAGCGAAAGCTTCCGAAGATGTGGAGCTTGTGGTGTGCTTCGAGCGTGGCAAATACCATGGTAACGTTTTTTTTTTTTTCGAGAATGTAAGTTCCATGACAGTGCTACTTTGCAGTTACGCCTTAAACATGCTTTTTAACGCCGCTAACAATAAGGAAACATCTATAGCGTTGAATTTGATCATCTGTCTACAAGGAGATACCCAGTGACTCGCAGCCCTCAGATTAAATCTTTTTTTAAGTCAGAAAGACTTGTTCTGGTTGAGAAAGTGGCATTTCAATTTTGTCGGAAGCAGTTGTCACTACCTGTTCAAAACAATTGTAATCTAATGGCTTGAATGCCCAAAGACTGTATTAACACTAAATATTCTTTAGAGCCGTTTTTAAGCATAGAGCGTGCTGAAATGTACCAAAGATGCGATAGCACGGCAAGTTTTCATACTAATGACTACGTTCCTTAAAGATAATCAAACCACTGATCGCTCGCTCACCAATGACACCATATTTCCGAGCCGCTTGTTGGCAGACTTGTAGTCTGTTTTTATGCATTCGTCTTACCGAAATACCTCAGTCGCCCCATTGTGGTTGGCGCACTATGGCCTATGTTTCTGCCGCACCATGAAACTCCAAATTAAATTTAATTCAAAACGCCGAAGGAGTGAAAAACAAGCTGCGTAATTTGCGCATTCCTCCCTATTTTATTTTTAGGATTGAGATGTATTTGTGCCATAAACTTGAACTGATGCTTTGAGACCTTAAAAAACGTCAGGGTATAACATTATTTAATTACGCAAAATAAATTCGACCATATACATGTCTGTTTTTTGGGAGTCGTAAGATATTAAGCCAATTTTTATGTTCATATAACGAGACTCCTTCATCCCGAAGGTTCGAGCCACGTCATCGAGGAGAAACCCGAGTCCGGGCTCGACGGTGGCACATCCAAGATGAGGTCCTTCTGCGTTTCCGGATTCTCCGACGCCATGGACTGGAGGCCCATCTTCTTCCAGGATGCCGAGATCACTCACAGCGCATGCGCACTGTGTGGACTCGTGTTCCTCAAAGCCATCAGGCTGTCCTGTGGCCACACGCTCTGCCCCGAGTGCCACGAGGAGTGCTCTCAACAAGGGAGCACCTGTCCCATCGATGAGGAATCCTTCGGCGATGATGACTGCTCCCGAATCGAGCTTTCAGTGGGCTTCCTCGCAAAACGCCGGGTGAGCGCAGATGCCAAGTTTGTTGTGCGAATTATAAGCAACAGGAAGTTAGTGCATCTTCACAGACATTATTGCGTGGGGAAACCACTTGACTTGTACTCCAAGAGTGCTGAGCAAATTTTTGCCATTTATGTCCCTGTGGTAACTACTCTAAAGTATCAAACCCATTTCTTGATTTCAACAAACGTGCGAGCAAATAAAAAAATACAGCAGAGAGAGTCAAGCCATTCTGAGCTCTCATCCTGCGCACGTGTACCCGTACCAGTGAAAGCCCCGTTCAATTCAGCATCCTCGTACTTTAAAGGAGCTGTGCAACAATTTCAGGGCTTTACTTAAATAATCGTGGAAGTTGATGCCTGACACGTCTGAAGGGAACTACAGAAAACAGATTTTGTCTGGGTAGACTAGTTTTTATGTAAAAAAAAATGAAAAAGATCCCGGTTTTTGCCACCTCTCAACTCGTATGTCGTCTTCCGGGTCACGTGCGCAGTGACGTCGATGGGGTAGGCGCGGGGCTCCGGTGAAGCTCTCTCTTTAGAGCCATCAGTGAGCAGCGAGAACTCATCCAATTGCGACCGCGTGACCACGTGCTGGCGGGCGCTGTGCAAACAATATGGTGAAAGGTGGAAACTCTCATCCGGGTCCGGCCATACCCGTCCGGCCCTGTCCTCATCCCCCACCGGCTTCGGGCGGCCGTTCGCGGTAGCAGAGAGAGCTGGTGGCTTTTTGGACCTAGGATAGATGGCGCCACTAAAGCTCCGTATAATAAAAGTTTTGTCGATGATACCAGGTTTTTGACGCATTTATATTTATGGTGGAACGACAAGATTTGTAGAAAAGTTACCTTTTATCGAACAGGTATTCGCACAACTTGCTATCTGTCTACAAGACCAACATTGACGTCATGCCGCCTGTTTCTCATGGCCGCCGCTCGCGGCGGCAGGTCGGGGAACATTAAAATTTTTGCCTCGCTTGTACGCGGCGGAATCGCAACATTTCGATGAAAGGAGGTGTGTTTTCTGTCATTTGTGACAATGAACAATATCTAAAGCAGAAGATGCCAATTCTTTGAACGTTAAAATCGTTGCACAGCTCCATTAAAAGGATACTACAACGAAAGTTCAGCGCTTAATTTATGGTCCATATGTGTTCAAAGGAGCCGTATCACATCGAACACACCAATATATTGTTAAAAAAGCCACGAAAAGAAATTTTAAAACGAATTAAACGATTAGCGAAGAGCACCGGCCACAGCGAGAGAAGAGGGGAAGGAGGAACTCCCGTCTTCCCGAGTATCCCTTTTATGTGTTCCAGAAGTAGCTAATGTCCCCCTACAAGAATATAAAAGATTAACCCGTCACTCATAATTCGCACAAGAGCAGCGGCTTCGGTGGCTGGAACGACTAGGCCATCCCCACGACGTCAGCCTCGCCGTAGCTTTGCTCGTCCCGAAACGACCTACGTCACGATTGCGTCAGATGTCATGTGCTCCAAGCTGAGCCTTCTCCGAGCGCTTGCTAGAGTGGGCCGTTTATAACAAAAAATACAGCCACCAGGCTCAAAATACAAACGTGCGATTGTCATTTACGGATATTGTAGATCATATTCAACCTATTTTTGAACACGACGGATATACTTCAAATTTCGTTTAAGTATCCCTTTAACCTTCTGGTGTTCCCGATTCTTGATTCTGGAATAGAAATGTAGTTTTTTTCGTTAAGATTACACTAAGGTGTGGGCTTAAGTTATCTTCCTCAAAATGTTTACTTATAGAAACACGTCGGCCTCCGCACTTTTCTCTCTGTGCTATGCTGCGTGTAACCGACATCTGTCGGATTTGGCGCGGCACCCAAGGAAATCATAATTAAGGAAAATTAAAACGAGAAGCTCAATCAAAACAAATTGCCATCAATAACACCAATCCTTCTTAATTACCGGTAATCAAGAAAATATGGGTCGTGTTCCGCAGCTAGCAATTGTTGCTCAGGACTTCTTCAACTAAGTAAACAAAAATATGTTACCGTATTCAAGGAATACATTAAAAATATAGATAATATAGGGACCCTTGTGCGCCTTACAGTGCGTATACAAGTTCTATAAATTCTAAAATGTTCATTGAGCAAACCGTATATTTGTTTTTTGATGGGGATGTTTTTACTTTTTGCCTATTATGATCTTTTCCCCTTCTCATTTGCATTTGCGGATACTTAAAATTACGCTTGCATGCTCCAAAAAGGAGGTTCAGAACATCCTAAGCACTTTTTTTTATATCCCTGCAATCATGGCGATTGCAAAGCCAAAGCATACGACATATATGCATATCTCGATTCGTCGTAACTACGCCAAAATATCGCGGTAAGCACAGCGAAAGAGCGGCTTTACGGCAGTCGAGGAAATCCGAGATCGGCAAATTACACGCAGCATTATTACAAAGTGGGTATGGGTAGATCTTCGCTACGGGGATAAAATACCCCAAACGTCGCAACATTGCATATCTCTCAAACCAAATGCTTTGACAATTATAAACGATGTTCATAATAAGTTAATCAATAAAACAACGGTAATAGAACAATTTCAATAATTTCCTTCTACTTGTTATCAAAAATAAAGAAAAAACACGAAAAACCGCATTACCGGTAAGGCATCCTTTGGCAGCTTTGTATTAAGTCTTGACGTTGAGCATGCTTTTCCATGGATTCGAGGTTGAGAATAGGTAGCAGTGCGTAGAATTAGGACCGTTCTAAAAATGTCGCGAAGTAATGTCACATTACTCTGTGAGTAATGTAAACATGATGTGGAAGTGCGAAGGTTTAACTGCCATTAACATTTTCTGATTTAAACAGTGATACGCCTTTGTTTGTATTTTCTTGGCACGACCTCATGTAAATCAAGTTTTCGATGTTTTTTTTTGGTCTCACCAAGGCGGCCTGCTGGAACAAGTCTAATGGCTGCAACTTCGAGGGTCCCGTTGGCAGTCTCTTAAAGCACAACATCGAGTGCGCTTTCCACGTGGTGTCCTGTCCTCGGTGTCAAGTGTCCGTGCTGAGGAGCGAGATTGTGGGACACTGCAAACATGGTTGCCACGTACCCGCCGTTGGGCCTGTAGTGGACGCAGACCGTGCCGCACAGGGATACGACAGCATCGAGCAGACAAGTAATGAAATCAAAGAAGCGTTGGGCAAGCTCTCTGAAGACCTGTCCTGTCTGCACACCAGCCTGAACCACTGCCGGGAGGACGTCAGAAAAGCAGAAAAGAGTTCGAAAGAACAACTGGAAGCTCAGTCTGCGACACTTGAACACTTGTCCAGATTGCACATCGAGGGACCTTCTCTTGCAGAAGGCGGATTGAGTGACGTCGCTGGTAAAGGGGAGAAGGGCTGTCAGGCCGGAAACTTCGGCGTAGACGCCGAACACCCGCTGAACGCCACGGAGAGCACGTTCCAAGTAATGCGTCCTGATCACCAAGGAAAGCTATTTTACTGGCACTTAAAGGGACTCGCAGCTATGAAGGAAGATGCAAACTCTTGTTATTTGGTGGTAACTGAGAGCCCCAGGCACTATTTGAGTGGATACAACGTGTCCATTGTATGCCGTGTTGTTCCGTCTGAGAGTGACTTTTGTTGTGATTTGTATTTAAAATTACATCTTGGCGACAACGATTCAAGCCTTAAATGGCCGTTCAGAAGACGTATCAGGGTCAGTGGCATTCGCAACATGAACCAAAAGAGGTATCGGCTCAAAAAATACAGTTTTGATTTGGATCCACCGTATTATGAGAACTTTAAGAGGCCAGACGGAAGTTCCTACAGCACTTTAGAACGCTTTTCTTCGTTGATGTTGGATAGACTAGAAAGGGACGGGTTTGTTGATAACAACTCACTGCACCTGTACTTTGAGGTCATGTAATTGAAAGCCTGCTGACGAACAATAAATTTAAAATAGGAGAACATTATTCTGCCAAAATTAAAATTAGCTTATTACCTGTCCCTCAAAATCGCACTGTTTAATTCACTGTACACTTTTACAGCTGTCTCGGTTTATTGTTTTCTAGTGCTGAATCGCCTTTCAGGCATAGTGGGAAAAAAATGTAGATCCTGATGTATCAGTATAACCCGTTTACTAAATCGTGCAGGTTCTGGTGTTGATTTAAATTTGATATTTCATATAAAATTAAAATAAAACAAGATAAAAATAATGATTTATTATCATAATAATCTGAAATAGTTTATCTTTTCTATTGGTTTTACTTACACCGTAATCAATCAATAATTTTGATTGATTACGCTCTTCTGGGCCAAAATAAAATTGGAGTGGTGAGCTTGAAACTTATCATGCACTTCGTTCTTTGGGCACGCTATGTCATATTGCGAGAAAGAGTGCGAAAGAGAAAAAAATGTGAGCCATTCCAATTTGTGAAGGTGGCTGGTGAGCGAAACTGTAGAGCACCACCACGCATGATTCACCAAGAGAAACACAAAATCACTTTACGAAATATTTACTTTACAGCATATATACTTCATTGTGAAACGGTACTGATGATTGCTTTTTGGGCACTACAATATACACTAATGGGTTCAAATACAGCTTTGGTGAGATTATTTGCTGAAGTTGAATGTATTGATCAAATAGTTTACATATATAAATGCTGTTGCTTTTATTTATGTAAAGCAGCGACGACACCCGACTCGAGCGTGAGAAGGCCCATTGTTCTCGGACGTGTCTCCCTTATCACGTTTCGACGTCTATCCTTATCAAACTCCATATTGCCGCGCGCAGGGCTGAGGAATCGACGCTCGGTCACGGACTTCTAGAAGATTGGCGTTTATTCTTGCTCCGGACGTAACTTTTTGTATTTATTCTTGCTCTGTTATTCTCAAAATTGCCTGTTCTTTCTCGCCCCAAGTGCGCGATGCTCGAGCCTGCTTTGCCGAATGTTCGAGATAGTGACGCGCTCTAGATAAGGAGCCGCCCGCGACCTTGTTGAGTCCGTCTCGCTCTCGCTTGCCGTTACACCGCCGAAACGCTGCCCGCTTTTCTGCTGCCTCGACACTCGCTCTCTATTTTTGTTCGACACAATTTCGTCGATGAAACCTTCATTTTCAGTTCACTGTTCGTCCTCTCGTCACCTTCGTTCATGAGAATATCGCGGTGACAGGGTGTATATATGCTCGGTGGCTCCGAGGCGAGAGCGCTGGCCTACGGATCCCCATGAGGCGGGTTCGAATCCCGGCCGAGGTGCCCGCAATCTGACGGAGGCTTATTGCGGAGGAGGCGCCGTGTAACCGAGCTTTCGGTTGCACGTCCAAAGATCCCCAGGTGGTCAAAATTAATCCTCAGTCCTCCGCTGGGGCGTGCCAGATGCCCGTCGTTGGTTTGGCACGTAAAACCCCCACATTTGACTTTAGGGTCTATATGCACTTCCATACAATGGAGCGCTCTACATGCAATGTATTTTCTGCACACGGATACCAAATATGCATAAAACCCAGCCATATACAGCTTCGTGGTAAAACGAAAACATAAAAACTGCGCGTCGTCGCAGACACACAGATGCACGGACGGATAGAGTTCAAGGAGTGAGAGATGGACAAAGAGACGGATGGCGCACTACTGTAACGGATCGCCAAACCGCGAAAGGACGCTACTAGTGCCACTAAATAAGTTACGCTTCGAAGTAACGACACATAACCATTTTGGATTGGATTGGAGTCTGTGGCTCTCCCCTTTGTATCGGGTGATCAACAGTAACGGATTATGGATCTAGCCTAGTCAGTTATCTGAAGCTTTATCTCAAATCACAGGAAACGCTTTTTCATCCTCCAGAAATTTTTAAACAGTTCGCAACAAGGCAAAGCAATATTACATAAGCTCCCTAACACCAAATCAGATGCTGAGGAAGTCGCACTTTTGAATCATGGCGATCGGCATTTGCGTCTGCTCTGCACAAGCCCCAGGATGGCTGTGCCCACAACAATGCTAGTGAACAGAGTGACGATATTCTAAGACTATCTCATTTAGTGTTTCTAGACGCCACGAGCTATCCCAGCCGATTCAAAGATTTGAACGCTCCATGAAAAGCCCCCCCCCCCCCCCCCCCCCCGTTTTTTTCTGCTACATTTCCGAACGGCAAGTGACAATCAAACGGTATTGGATAGGTTCAGATGACTCGTAGCTTCCTGAACGGTGCATCGTCAGGTGAAACGAAGTTGAGTGTGTCCGGTTTGTCTAACAACAGCTTACCGTCTCCTTTATGAGACCTCGTCGCACCTTCGCAGTTTTTAAAAACAAGAGGAAAAAGCCATTCCCGACAGCCGAGTGTGCACTCGAGTTTAACAATCAAAATCCTTAATGTCGTAATTTCTTTTTTTTTTTTTTGTTTTTTGCACGAGCGTTATGGTTTTGATAACGGTGTAAGATACACTCTTTAGGTGAGGACACGGAGGGGCTGAACGCGCGGCGCGAGGAATCAGATAGTGTTCGTTCGACGGGCATCCGAAAGGCTGCATTATTCTGCGGTCACCGTGCCCGCGGCTTACAGTGTCGCCGGCGGCCAAACGGCGAAACTGCGTGAGAGGGAAAGGAATTATCTCGTTGCCATGACACCCCGGTACAACGTGGTCTTTCTGCACGAGCGACGACCTCGCTGGAGCTCTCCGCGTGTGGAGCACGAGGCGGCAGGAGCCGTCTTTGCCGTGCCCACGGGTCGACGAGTCATCCGCCGGCGCCGCTTGAAACTGTAGTGAGAGAGAGAGAAAGAGAGAGTGAAAAGCGAATTTTATCTGTACTACGGGAGGAGCGCGCTGTCCTCACCTGAAGAGTATTATCTCACACCGTGGTTTTGAGGCTCTGGTGATTTCGTTTGGAGCTGACCTTGATTTTGCCTATAGGAGCAGTAGTGAGTGCTGTGTATTTGCGTTAGCTTTGCGTGTGTGGTCACGTACACACCGCCGACACACTGCGGCTCCCGAGAAAACATTTCTCCGTTCGACTCCAAAGGCTCCCAGAGCTCCGGATTACGTTACCCGACTCAGTTGCCGCGTCACCGGCGGAACAAGACGCACGCTTGCATCAGTTCCGCGCAATATCCATGTTGCGTAATATCGTATATACTCCTGGCTACCTTACCATAGCACCACGGATATTGCTCTTTCGTCTGGCTGCCGTATTCTCTCGCGATTCCACCACTTCGCGCCACGGCGAGGTAAGCTTTCACAAGAGAGACCACCGGGGAGATGGAATGGAGACTACACAGAGACTGCTCCTCGTTTTCGGCCCTCTCTCAAACTGAACAAAAATTTAGTGTTCTTACTTTTTACCAACCGTTCGACACCCGTTTAACTTAGAACCTGCAGAGGAACCGAAGACGCTCCGCGTGCTCCACGCTGTGAATGTGGCTCGTCGCCAAGAGCAAATCCAAGACACAGTCAGGGCTCTGCGCACGCAGTGTGGAACACACAGTGGTTGCGTTTGCTCGCGATTTTCACACAGGCACCATGTGCACGAAGCCGACGGAGGAAAGTCTGCTCGAAGCTTCGAAGAAACGGGTAGAAGCTGTCTCGACAAGGTTTCTGTAGTGCCTTGGCTGAACAGTAGGTTATAACCTGATTGATTCATGTATTAGAAAAAAATCCAGTTTATTCATTACCTACAAAAGAAACTCATGCAGTTTAAAGGTTCTAACGGCTGCCACTTCTGGCGGCCTTAGACTTATACGGCACTTCCACAAACCACATTTGTGGAAAATGTCCACAAATGTGGTTTAGGACTTGTCTTTACCTGTGAAACGCCAAAGGAAGGAGTTTTGCAATTTCTGGACTTTTCGCTTTCTCTGCTACCCAATTACCTGTGCTGGACCTTTTCCCCTCGTTTTAAGAAAGGCATCCTAAACTACACGTCCTCTCACTTCAAAGTCGTTAAAAGGGGTATAGCTATGTCATGCCTTACAAGCGCCTTAAATAAGTCTTGTTTTCATACCCTCCAATGTAGTTTTGAAGCACAACCACTTTCTTTTCTTCTTTCGTGAATACATGAGTAGTGTCGAACTGAAGTTTTTGGGTGCATTATATGAGACAAGAGGGTTGTTGTATTCTTTGAATTAAAAAAGAGATGGCGCTACAGGTCTCACGCCGACCGGTGCAGTGTATGAGGTAATGAACACGAGCGAACAGCACGCGCCTAGGGCTGGCCGGAAAAAGAAGAACAGATGCTCGCTGACCTTTGACTTGGCTGGACTGCTTCTTTGATGCCTGACCACACTATCACACAAAACATTTTCACACCCTTATTAGTGTAAATGGCATGGATCACAACTCACCCCCTTATTGGTGTACAAAAACGCCTTAGAAAAAAGGTGTGATACCTCACACCCTCGAAAACCGGTGTAATCTCTTACACCCTTCGCAGAAAAGTGTGATTCTGGTCTACACCATTTTATTAGGGTGTGATGGCAGCAGTACACCTTTTTAAAACGGTGTACTGCAGCTAGAAGAGAATGAAAAAAAAAAAAAAAAAAAAAAAACCCCGAGACTAGTGACAAAAAATTGGGACAACGCAACACTGTCTCAAAAAGTTTTGAGACGTGTTCTGTTGTCCCAATATTTTGTATCTAGTCTTGGTTTTTTTTATCATGATACTTCACCAGCTCCCCTGCGCAGTAACTCTCACTTGATTCGGCTAGAAGAGGTTAATAATACAAAATGTGTAACACATCCACAGAATAGGGCACAGAGCCCCGCAGTACTTCATCGAAAAGTATTTACGCAAAAATGATTGCTAACAAGTTTAAACATGTGCACCACTTTATTTTTCAATCTGAAAAAAAAAAAAAAAAAAAAAAAAACGTGCGTGGATCTTATCCTTTTTTGTCGCGAATTCGCGACAAACCAATGTCACACCTCAAACGCGAGCATTTGTGACCTAATGTTAAGTTTTTGTGACAAAGCTACAAAATTCTCGAAGGCTTAAAATAAATGCACTCAAACTTTTAGCAAGGCTTTCCTTCGCCTAAAGCTACTTTAATGCTTTGCAGCTCTGGTGACGT